TTGAAATAATAGCAAAATATCTGATTTTGTATCACAGACTGTAAACTTGCACATAAATTATTATGACAATAAATTTGCAAATAATAACATTAAAATTGAATGTAAAAATTGAAATTGAAAATATCTAACCCCGCACGCTGTCAATATAGCGGAGGGCAACTATTATTAAAAATATATGCATACTCATACATAGGCATTTATATAATTGAAATATTATTGAAATATTATGACCATAAATTTGCAAATAATAACATTAAAATTGAATGTAAAATTGAAATTGAAAATATCTAACCCCGCACGTTGATTGATTGAAAATATCTAACCCCGCACGCTGTCAATATAGCGGAGGGCAACTATCGCCGTCTGTTGTAAAACGTGCGAGATGGACATTTCCAATACATGCATCTATTTATGTGTTGTGTACGTGTGATATATGTGTGCGCATGTGTTGTATACGTGTGAATACGTGTAGCACGATACTACTATGTTTGCGTGGTCGATGATGACAATGATGACGGGGACGTTTCTTAAAAGAAATTTTTCATATTTCGACTTTGCATTTTTATATCTCTGCTTACAAATCACGTAGAGCAGAAATAAAGACACTTTTATTATATAATTCAAACTCAATCTATCGATTAAGTCTAGTATAAACTCGATTGCTTCAGCCGTTATTGAGAATTCGAAATATTATAAAGACTCAAATGTCCGACTCGCGTTAAGATACACGGTGTCTCGGCTACGCCCTTAACTGGTCGCGAGACACTACCGTGTCTCTTGATATATGTGATAAACACATTTTAAACAATTGAATTTTATTTTCTTATTTATTATAATCAACTCTGTTCATTCTACACAAATGTACGTATATATGATAAATAACAATATAATTAATTTAGTGGAAATTCTTCTTACCCTGTTGGTATAAATTTCGGAAGCACGATGACTCGATGAGCTTCGACTAAATGTACCATTTTATTAAAAATATCAGATTCTTTAAATTGATCGCAAATGTCACATTTCTTAATTATATCAAGTCGCTGGTTTACCCAGATTTTGAGTTTATTAGCTATATTTTCGTTAAGCTCATGTCTACTTGTCAAGTGTTTTTGCACTTCGTACTTGGATTCAAGAATGGCATATAAATTTGAGAACAATAATTACATTTTACTCCGTTGATTTCAATAAAAGTAAAGTTAGTTTTTTCTAATGGATTATATGAACGAGGATGTGAAGTTGACCCATGCGCAATAATACTGAATCGGTGTGCAATGATATATTCCTTGTTGCAAATATTACATATTTCATTCTCCGTATCACTTCTCAAATAATACCACATCCATGTACAATCCTTTAAACTGTATAAATAAAAAATACAAATTGTAAGAAATAATTAGTATTGTAATGTTTGCTTGTTGAGTAATGTGTACAATATAATATATAAATATTCACATACGACCATTTTGACCGGTTATTTTATATTATAAACACTATTCACAATTTATACTAAAAATACTTAATTAAATAAATTGTTACAAATTACCGATTTTACAGAAATACAACAGAGCAAATTTGGTCGAACGTATATTTCAATATAAAATATTAACTAACTCAGACAAATTGACGTGAATTTAAATAAATATGTAATAAACACATTCCTAATGATTGAATTTTATTATCTTATTTATTATAAACAATTCTGTTCATTGCACACAAATGTACGTATTAATGATAAATAACAATATAATTAATTATTGGAAATTCTTCTTACCCTGTTGATATAAATTTCGGAAGCACGATGACACGATGAGCTTGGACTAAATGTATCATTTTATTAAAAATATCAGATTCTTTAAATTGATCGCAAGATTCGCATTCCTTAATTAAAAGAAGTTGGTCGTTTACCCAGATTTTAAGTTCATTAGCTATATCTTTGTTAAGCTTATGTTTTTTTGTCAGGTGATTGTGAGAACTAGTACATGCTTTATTACATATATTGCATATGTCATACTCCGTACTCTCATCTCTTCTCAAATAATACCACATCCATCTATTGTTTATTGAGCTATATAAAATAAAAAATACAAATTGCTGGAATAATTAATATTGTAATGTTTGATTGTTGAATAATGTGTACAATGTATAATTCCTGATAACAAATCGAAACTAATATTATTAATAAGATTTTATTATCTACTTAAACTTTAACTCCTTTATTTAAATTTAAATTTCAGTATTCTTAAAACGTAAAAGATTATCCAAATTTGAATATGTATACCTTATTAAAAATTTGAATTACACATGTGTTTATATCTATAAAGAATGTCCCAAATTATCGATTATAGAATTTCTAAATATAATAACATGCAAATTTATATTATTAAAAAAAAACAAATAGGAAGAGAGTCTGTATCTTCAAAAATATTAATTATAAAAATTAGTTAATTGGACTTCGTATTTTTGATTTGATCAGTAATATTATTTCGAAACATGTGATTTTTTTTTGCACCATATATATATATATATATATATTAATACTTTATAGTTACATATGTTATTATTGAATATATTATTATTATGTATATTATTATTATGTATATTATTATGTATATATATGTTATTACTTTATAATTACTAAATTATTATGTATATTATTATGTATATAATATTAGCTATGATTAAGTTAACTAAATATCATAATGAATTGTGATAAAGACGTCCTTAATATTTGAAATCATGATTCTATTCTTGTACATGATTTCACTATGTTTACCACTATGTACATTCAAGGTTTTTAATTATATATTTTTTATATTCGATGGATTTGATAAAAATGATCAGAAATACGTTGCCTTAATATTTTTTGATGTGATATATAGGCCAATTTCACCATCTTCGATTATTTTAATCGACCGATTCAATTAAGAATTTTTAGCTGGAAAGCACAGACCATTTTAAATGTAGATAGAGTTGATCGGTCTTAAAGTAGCAAATTTTTAATTTAATCAGTCGATTAAAATGCACGACATTAATGATATAATTGATCCATAATCTCATAAATTGGTATTACCTTTCATCGTTATCTGACTTATCTGCCATGTTGATTGCTCTGTAGATCGTGCACTTCTGTGGGTTCCAAGAAATAATTATTTAAACGAAAAATATATGTGTGAAGAAATGTTGATAATAGAAAAAGGAGAGGTCACAGGAAGATGTATGATTCGTTCTAGAAATGTAAATATTGATATACAAATATTAAAACTGTCTAAAGTGTTTCTCATTTTTGACGATTATACATAGCAATAATCCAGTACCGATAATTTCACAGTTTAAAAAACGATTTAAAATATAATTTATAATCACATAAATTACAAATAATTTCAAATAAAATAAAATGTACCGTCACATTTATTTTTAATAATGTTATGTTTATGTATTTTATTTATAAAAATTGCATTAATTTTATATATTACTTTTATTGCAGTCAATGCAAATCGAATGAGTCCACTAATTATATAAAAAACAAAAAGATTCAATATTTGTTTAAATGTTATTAATACAGTCATTAACACAATACTTTTAAGAAATTGTTCTTGCATGACAAATAATAAATTTATATTTATATAATAATTTGGCGTGTCTTGAGCTCCAATAGTTAACACAACGAGAATTATGTATTATTTTGTTATATATACCTATTTTTAATGTTTCTTTCGCAAAATACGAAAATTGATGTTTTTTAAAATGTGAAAATATCACAGAAATGAACAACCTTAACTATATTTTATTCTAGCATTATAATCAATTTGATAACTCAAAATTTGCGAATGTTAATAAAAAGTGCACTTAAAAATTTTTAAAGTTCAAAATTTTATATAATTAATCCTTCATCAATCCTCGCCAAATTCAATAATACCAATTATTCTTACGCATCCATATTTTATGTTAGGTTTAAAAATAAAGAAAAACACTTTGTCGCATATAAAGCAGCAATTAAAAAAAATATTTATTACAATAAATAAAGTAAGTAAAATATTTAATTAATTTATTAATAGTAGGATGACTTGACATACACATTGGAGGAATCTGTAACCTACGAGAAATACATATCCATCTGGTGAACGAAGACTTTGCCAATACGTTCGGGCATGTGATTACAGCATTTGATATCTTAGCTATGGAGCATCATTATGCATGCCAGCCAATTTAGCATTTACCAATTGGTTCTCGAATGCAGCACTTGACGTGACAGAAGAATAATGAATTAAATATGCTGTGTGCCCGTTTTTACGCGTAAATAAACGAAGATTTGATCACATTTGTAAACTGTGAGATTGCATTATAAAAAGTGTAAAATTATTCTCAAATATTTCGAGTAAAGTCATCCGTTTATCGCGCAACTACTATATAAAAAAACATGTATGATTAGAGTACAAAAATATTACACTTTCTATTGCAATCAAGAAAATATCATTGCCATTTATGATTATGTAATTGCAATGTCGCTTTTGCATTAGTTTTAAAAATTGATTATACAATTTATTATATGAATGTATAAAATCTAAAACATTTAATATACACGAAATTAAGAGAGCTTTACTTTTATTTAACAACTGGACACTTTATTTATATGTAGCAAAAGAAAAAGTCATATAGCGCTGCATATATTTTTCACTTTTCCCAATTTTACGACTATGCATAACAGCTCGATTGATGGTAAAATATCAGAATGCTGTCCAATTAATTTTATTATATTTTTAATTTACTAAACAAAATACGTGTACATACATGAGTATATATACATACATGGAATAATCATGTAAAATATACAATTATTTAATACATTTTCTTTACTATAAATAATTCAAAAACAAGTACGCATTAAGCGACGCGTAGAAAACAAACAAAAAAATATTATATTTGCTTAAATAAAATATTTTTGTTAATACAATACTTTTAAAGATCTAATTTTACAAAATTGATAATAAATTTGTGTTTTATAATGAGCAATTTCTTATAACAAAAACTAAAGTATTATAAGTATAAATAATTTAAAACGCAGTTGCCTGATAAGTAGTTGATTAACAAAAATATGTTCGCAAAACAGTCATCATTATAATTTTGTACTATTTTGCTTTATGTTACATTAAAAAAGCATTGTAAATAATTATTCATAGAATGACATCGGATGACTTTTTTCTCCATTACATCCAAATAACTTATCCACTTCGATGTTATAAATAGAATCAATTTCCTCACTATCAGCAGAGGGTGCAATATCTTCAAAAATAATAGCAAAATATTTGATAATTTTCACAGAATTATAACAATAGCAATTACTGAATTAATCAATACCAATATAGATTCTTGTTTCTATAAGTATGTAAAATGTTTAATGTGTAAGACAACTATCATCCAAGTACAAATAATAAATAATTTTAAGAAAATATTTTAAAAAGTATTTAAAAAAATATGGAAAATAAAAATTTTGCTCTGTCGATGCTTGATAATTGATTTTTAATTATCTATAGATAATTAAAAAATTATGAGTTTGCAACACAATCGATACATTTATAAGTTTGTGTTATACCGCTTTATGTTAAATCGAAAAAGAAGTCTAATAATTACGTATATAATCAGCCCAAATATCTTCTTCAGTAAACTCCACTGTCTCATCAGGATTTAAATCGGAACCCACATTCTCAACGTCAGTTCTCAAAGTACTACAAGTTGGCAGCTGATTGCTGCTAGACGTTGGAATATCTGCGGTGTTCCTATCACGATGAAAAAGATTGTATAATTTTTCTGATAATGTGCTAGAATAATTAACAGTACAATATTATGAATTAGTCAAAGTTATAAAATTTTGCTTGCATCATGAGCATAATGCATAATTATTGAATACAAACTATTCATATTAACTTTACGATTTTATTATATAAACACTTCACGCTGTCAGCTTGAAGTACACTCATATAAATGAAACATATATATATATATATATATAGTATTCAAATACGACAATCCTTGTTCGGTTCTTTAATATTATAAGTGTTGATTCACAATTTATATTAAAATAAATATTTAATTAAATATTTTAATGGACCGATTTATTTTAAGAATTCCCAACTGCAAAGCAGAGACATCTCATTTTAAATGTAGATAAAGTTGATCAGTTTTAAATTGGCAATTTTTAAATTTAATCAGCCGATTAAAATGCAGGACAGAGATGATATAATTGGCCCATAATCTCATAAATTGGTGTTACCTTTCCTTGACATCTGACATATACTTATCAGTATCACCATATGAGGAAAAGCTCGTTGATGGCGAAATATCTGAAAGATTGTGATAATCATCTACAATATTTGATATTTTTCACAGAATTATAACAATAACAATTACTGAATTAATAATCAATACCAATATAAATTCTTATTTATATGAATATGTAAAATGTTTTATGTGTATAATAACAATTAAATAATATTTAATTTTAAATAAAATATTTTCAAAAAATATTTAAAAATATTAAAAGAATAAAAATTTCGCTCGGTCGCTTAATATGAAGATATTTAAAAATTATGAGCTTGCAACACAATCGATACATTTATAAGTTTGTGTTATATCGCTTGATGTTAAATAAAAAAAGAAGTGTTAATAATTACGCATATATTCAGTCCAATTATATTTTTCAGTAGACTCCACAGTCCTATCGGTATTTAAATCGGAATCAACATTCTCAACGTCAGTTCTCGAAGTATTACAAGTTGGCTGCTGATTGCTGCTTAACGTTGAACTATCTACATTGTTTCCATCACCATGAAAAAGATTGAGTACTATTTCTGTTACGCTGGAATAATTAACAGCACAATTCTATGAATTAGTTAAAGTTATTAAGTCTTGCTTGTATCATGTGCATAATGCATAGTTATTGAATAGACACTATTGATATTAACTTTACGATTTTATTATATAAACACTTCTCGCTGTAAACTTGAAGTACATTAATATAAATGAAACATATATATAAATAGTATTCACATACGACCATTTTTGACCGGTTATTTAATATTATGAAACCTGATTCACGTTTCAAACTAAAATACATATTTAATTAACTGAATTTTTACAAATTACAATTTCAAGAAATGCAACAGAGCAAATCTGGCTCGAAAGTATATTTTATTAAAATATTAACTAACTGAGATAAATTGACGTGAATATAAATATATATGTACTAAACACATTTTAAACAATTGAATTTTATTTTCTTATTTATTATAATCAACTCTGTTTATTCTACACAAATGTACGTATATATGATAAATAACAATATAATTAATTTATTGGAATTCTTCTTACCCTGTTGGTATAAATTTCGGAAGCACGATGACTCGATGAGCTTCGACTAAATGTACCATTTTATTAAAAATATCAGATTCTTTAAATTGATCGCAAATGTCACATTTCTTAATTATATCAAGTTGCTGGTTTACCCAGATTTTGAGTTCATTAGCTATATTTTCGTTAAGCTCATGTTTACTTGTCAAGTGTTTTTGCATATTCGTACTTGGATTCAAGAATGGCATATAAATTTGAGAACAATAATTACATTTTACTCCATTGGTTTCAGTAGGAGTAGAGTTATTATGTATTTCTAAGCGATTATATAAATTAGGATGTGATTTTGACACATGCAAATTCATACTGCATCGGTGTGCAATGATATATTCTTTGTTGCAAATATTACATATTTCATTCTCCGTATCACTTCTCAAATAATACCACATCCATGTACAATCCTCTAAACTGTATAAAATAAAAAATACAAATTGTATGAAATAATTAATATTGTAATGTTTGCTTGTTGAGTAATGTGTACAGTATAATATATAAATATTCACATACGACCATTTTTGACCGGTTATTAACATTATAAACACTAATTCACAATTTGTACTAAACTAAATACTTAATTTAATAAATGATTATAAATTACCGATTACAGAAATACAACAGAGCAAATCTGGTCGAACGTATATTTCAATATAAAATATTAACTAACTCAGACAAATTGACGTGAATTTCAATATATATGTAATAAACACATTTTAAACAATTGAATTTTATTTTCTTATTTATTATAATCAACTCTGTTTATTCTACACAAATGTACGTATATATGATAAATAACAATATAATTAATTTATTGGAAATTCTTCTTACCCTGTTGGTATAAATTTCGGAAGCACGATGACTCGATGAGCTTCGACTAAATGTACCATTTTATTAAAAATATCAGATTCTTTAAATTGATCGCAAATGTCACATTTCTTAATTATATCAAGTTGCTGGTTTACCCAGATTTTGAGTTCATTAGCTATATTTTCGTTAAGCTCATGTTTACTTGTCAAGTGTTTTTGCATATTCGTACTTGGATTCAAGAATGGCATATAAATTTGAGAACAATAATTACATTTTACTCCATTGGTTTCAGTAGGAGTAAAGTTATTATGTTTTTCTAATGGATTATATGAACGAGGATGTGAAGTTGACCCATGCGCAATAATACTGAATCGGTGTGCAATGATATATTCCTTGTTGCAAATATTACATATTTCATTCTCCGTATCACTTCTCAAATAATACCACATCCATGTACAATCCTTTAAACTGTATAAAATAAAAATACAAATTGTAAGAAATAATTAGTATTGTAATGTTTGCTTGTTGAGTAATGTGTACAGTATAATATATAAATATTCACATACGACCATTTTTGACCGGTTATTTTATATTATAAACACTAATTCACAATTTATACTAAAGTAAATACTTAATTAAATAAATTGTTACAAATTACCGATTACAGAAATACAACAGAGCAAATCTGGTCGAACGTATATTTCAATATACAATATTAACTAACTCAGACACAAATTGACATAAATTTAAATATATATGTAATAAACACATTCCTAATGATTGAATTTTATTATCTTATTTATTATAAACAATTCTGTTCATTGCACACAAATGTACGTATTAATGATAAATAACAATATAATTAATTTATTGGAAATTCTTCTTACTCTGTTGGTATAAATTTCGGAAGCACGATGACACGATGAGCTTGGACTAAATGTATCATTTTATTAAAAATATCAGATTCTTTAAATTGATCGCAAGATTCGCATTTCTTAATTAAAGAAGTTGGTCGTTTACCCAGATTTTGAGTTCATTAGCTATATCTTTGTTAAGCTCATGTATATTTGTCAGGTGACTTTGCATCTTCTTACTTGGATTCAAGAATGGCATATAAATTTGAGAACAATAATTACATTTTACTCCATTGGTTTCAGTAGGAGTAAAGTTATTATGTATTTCTAAGCAATTATATAAATTAGGATGTGATCTTGACACATGCAAATTCATACTGCATCGGTGTGCAATGATATAATCTTTGTTGCAAATATTACATATTTCATTCTCCGTATCACTTCTCAAATAATACCACATCCATGTACAATCCTTTAAACTGTATAAAATAAAAAATACAAATTGTAAGAAATAATTAGTATTGTAATGTTTGCTTGTTGAGTAATGTGTACAGTATAATATATAAATATTCACATACGACCATTTTTGACCGGTTATTTTATATTGTAAACACTAATTCACAATTTATACTAAAGTAAATACTTAATTAAATAAATTGTTACAAATTACCGATTACAGAAATACAACAGAGCAAATCTGGTCGAACGTATATTTCAATATAAAATATTAACTAACTCAGACAAATTGACGTGAATTTAAATATATATGTAATAAACACATTCCTAATGATTGAATTTTATTATCTTATTTATTATAAACAATTCTGTTCATTGCACACAAATGTACGTATTAATGATAAATAACAATATAATTAATTTATTGGAAATTCTTCTTACCCTGTTGGTATAAATTTCGGAAGCACGATGACACGATGAGCTTGGACTAAATGTATCATTTTATTAAAAATATCAGATTCTTTAAATTGATCGCAAGATTCGCATTCCTTAATTAAAAGAAGTTGGTCGTTTACCCAGATTTTGAGTTCATTAGCTATATCTTTGTTAAGCTTATGTTTTTTTGTCAGGTGTTTGTGAGAACGAGTACATGCTTTATTACATATATTGCATATGTCATACTCCGTACTCTCATCTCTTCTCAAATAATACCACATCCATCTATTGTTTATTGAGCTATATAAAATAAAAATACAAATTGCTGGAATAATTAATATTGTAATGTTTGATTGTTGAATAATGTGTACAATGTATAATTCCTGATAACAAATCGAAACTAATATTATTAATAAGATTTTATTATCTACTTAAACTTTAACTCCTTTATTTAAATTTAAATTTTCAGTATTCTTAAAAACGTAAAAGATTATCCAAATTTGAATATGTATACCTTATTAAAAATTGAATTACACATGTGTTTATATCTATAAAGAATGTCCCAAATTATCGATTATAGAATTTCTAAATATAATAACATGCAAATTTATATTATTAAAAAAAACAAATAGGAAGAGAGTCTGTATCTTCAAAAATATTATTATAAAAATTAGTTAATTGGACTTCGTATTTTTGATTTGATCAGTAATATTATTTCGAAACATGTGATTTTTTTTTGCACCATATATATATATATATATATTAATACTTTATAGTTACATATGTATATTATTGAATATATTATTATTATGTATATTATTATGTATATATATATTATTACTTTATAATTACTAAATTATTATGTATATTATTATGTATATTATTATGTATATAATATTAGCTATGTTTAAGTTAACTTAAATATTATAATATATTTGTGATAAAGACGTCCTAAATATTTGAAATCATGATTCTATTCTTTGTACATGATTTCACTATATCATCACTATGTAACATTTCTAGATTTTCAATTATATATTATTTTAAATTCGATGGATTTGATAAAAATGATCAGAAATATGTTGCCTTAATATTTTTCGATGTGATATATATGTAGGTCATTTTCACCATCTCCGATTATTTCAATCGACCGATTCAATTTAAGAATTTTTAGCTGGAAAGCACAGACCATTTTAAATGTAGATAGAGTTGATCGGTCTTAAAGTAGCAAATTTTTAATTTAATCAGTCGATTAAAATGCACGACATTAATGATATAATTGATCCATAATCTCATAAATTGGTATTACCTTTTATCGTTATCTGACTTATCTGCCATGTTGATTGCTCTGTAGATCGTGCACTTCTGTGGGTTCCAAAGAAATAATTATTTAAACGAAAAATATATGTGAAGAAATGTTGATAATAGAAAAAGGAGAGGTCACAGGAAGATGTATGATTCGTTCTAGAAATGTAAATATTGATATACAAATATTAAAACTGTCTAACGTGTTTCTCAATTTTGACGATTATACATAGCAATAATCTAGTACCGATAATTCCACAGTTTAGAAAACGATTTAAAGTATAATTTATAATCACATGAATTACAAATAATTTCAAATAAAATAAAATGTACCGTCACATTTATTTTTAATAATGTTATGTTTATGTATTTTATTTATAAAAATTGCATTAATTTTATATATTACTTTTATTGCAGTCAATGCAAATCGAATGAGTCCACTAATTATATAAAAAACAAAAAGATTTAATATTTGTTTATATGTTATTAATACAGTACCTACCTCGAAGACAAATTTGCAGACAAAATTACATTTTATTTCGTTGATCTCTATTGTAGAAAAGGTGTCTCTTCCGATTTGTTATGATATCAGGATATGTTTTTTTTACATATGTACTTTCATATATAGATGTGAGTCGAACAATAATATTTCTTATCACAAATATTACATATATTTCATACTCCGTATTTCTTCTCAATAATACCACATCCATCTATATTTTATTGAGCTATATAACATAAATATACAAATTGCTGGAATAATTAATATTTTAATGTTTGCTTGTTGAATAATGTGTACAATGTATAATTACTGATAACAAATCAAAACTAATATTATTAATAAGATCTATTATCTATTTAAACTTTATCCCCTTCATTTAAATTTAACTTTCAATATTTTTAAAAACATGAAATTTACCAACTACGAATATCTGTATCTTTAAATTAAATTGTACATTTGTTTATACCTACAAAGATTGTCACAAATTATCGATTATAAAATCCTAAATATAATAAGACGAAAGTTTATATTATAACGACAAATAATAAACACAAATAGAAAGATAGCAATATCTTCAAGGATATTAATTGTAGAACTCATGTTATTAAACATTGTTTTCTTGTTTAATCAATAATATTATATCAAAATATGTGACCTTTTTTCGCACGTTGTATATATATTTATACTAACTTTATGAGTATATTTATAAGTTAACTTAAATATTATAATATATTTGTGATAAAGACGTCTTAAATATTTGGAATCATGATTCTATTCGTTGTACATGATTTTACTAAGTGACCACTATGTACCTTTTTTAGATTTTCATTTATATTTTTTTCTATTTCGATTGATTTGATAAAAATTATCACAATTATATTGCTTTATTATTGTATTTTTCTATGTGATATATAGGCCAATTTACCATCTCCGATTATTTTAATTGATCGATTCAATTGAAGAATTTCCAACTGTAAATCACAGACATTCTATTTTAAATGTAGACAAAGTTGATGAGTTTTAATTTGCAAATTTTAATTTAATCAGCCGATTAAAATGCATGACGACGGAGATGATATATTGGCCCATAATTTCATAAACTGGTATTACCTTTTTTGGACATGTGACATATCTGCCATGTTGACTGTTCTGTAGATCGTGCATTACTGTGGATTATAAAGGAAAAATTATTTAAACGAAAAATATATATGTGAAAAATTTTGATAATAGAAAAATATAGAGATTACGGGAAGATGTATGATTCGTTCTAAAAATGTATAAATATTAATACACAGATATTAAACTGCCTAATGTGTTTTCCAATTTTCACGATTATATATAGTAATAATTCAGTGCGGATAATTTCACCGTTAGGAAACAATTAAAAAGAATTATAATCACTTATATTAAAATATATAAGAATGTTAGAAACTTTTCAATTTATGAAGATTTTTTTTATTCATCAAAGATTTTTTCTGTCAAAATATCGCGTTCTCGTTGTACATTAATTCTTCGCCGGTACCATATCCATTTTTCCTACAGGAGATCGACTTCTGCGTCCGAGAACTATCTTCGTAAAAACACTTCGAAATGCTCTCGTTACTTTTTTTCATTCGCAACTCAAGGCGACGCCCGGGTTTTAGGTAGCACATTTTCGACGCGTTTCGGTAAAACGCGAAAATATGCGAGAGTTTATTCGCACGCGAATGAAACCGATGCTCCATTTTCGCGTCACCGCTTTTTTCAAGACTCTCTTATCGAAGGATATCCCGAACCTCATTATATATTATATTCCATATTCGTCACGTCACGTCACTATATTTTATATTTCACTTATTCCAGAATGCCACTACATTTCACTATATTTTATCTTCACACTGAACATTCAGCGAAGAAATCGCGAATATCGCGCATGAACCTCGCCGATTTATCAGCGCGTATTTCTATCAAAATTTTTTAATTACA